CCCCTTCTTTCTCCTCCAACCAAATGGGCAACGACCTTGAAATATCATCGTGGACCTGACCAGCCCCAGGTAATTCAGAAATATCTGATTCCATTCATCTAACGGTTCGATCTGAATTCGAACTCAGGTCCTCATTTCAGAAGCTGAGTTGATATCAACTGAGCTAGGCCTGTTCGTCATCGCTCCAATTTTAACAATGTCCCGAAGGACGTTCCTTTTTTTTTTTTTTTGTTCTCTCTTTTAATTCCATTCGTTTTTTCCTTTTTTTTTATATTTTTTTCACTCCCTTCCGAATCCTTGTTTTTTTTTGTTGCCTCCTCTCTCCCCGTGGATGCCTTTTCATTCTGCACTCTCTTCGGATTCTTTTTCTTTTTGTTCATTCCGTTTTTTTTTTTAAAGAAAAAGCGTGAAAAACAGAACACTTCTTTTGGCGACGAAGGATGCTTGCGTGCAACTGGTATGCATCCCTTTTTTTTCCCCTTTTTTTGCAGTATGCCTTTTTTTTTTTTGGAGTATGCTTTTTTTTTTTTTTTTTCCTGAAACGGAACTGACATATTTTGTTATTTATGGCCTTTGTAGCCTGGCTATTGCAAAGGAGGGTGAGTTGACGATTGGCACGATTGATGACATTCAGAAGCTGCACATAAGGACTGTTCCACTCGGCGAGCAGGCTCGGAGAATAGCCCATCAAGAGCAGTCGCGTACGTTTGCTATTCTAACAGTCAAGCCAGTAAATTGGGAAGAAGAGCATCACGTTCGGATGCTCGACGATCAGGTGACCCACCAACGCTCTCTCACGTTCTCAACCCCCAAGCCAGCGCTCACGTACTTTTTTTTTTTTTTTTTTTTTTTTTTTTTTAAAAACATGTCCGTATGGCCGTGATTCCATTTCCATTCTGCGGAGCGTCAGTCTGGTTATTATTTCCCCGGCAAGTCAAATTGAAATACATCGTGAATGATGTTGATTTTGTTTTTCCATTGACCAGGTCCAATGAATTTCCTTTTCCTCGACCAGGAGGAGGAGAGGAGGAGGAGGAGGAGGAGGATAACTGCCCATATTTTTCTCGAGTTTGGGAGTTGGTTGCCCATTAGCTCACTTTTTTTACCAAACCAGGAGTAGTTGCGGTTTGAACTCGTGGTCTAGAGATTTTCTAAATTTTCCTTGAGTCAACCCTACAGCTTGTTTTACACAGTATTGCCAGATCAATTCATGGGTCAGATGTTGTTGCGTGCTTATCCACACTGTGTAGTGGTCATGTGCATCCGAACGAAGGGGGGGTGCGAGCGTGAACTCCGTAGCTGCTCCGGTGTTGTATAGGGTAGAATGTGGCAATGCCTTTGGTGACCATACACGCTAGCTAACCCCTTCACGAACTTCAAATTTCAAACCACATGTTGGGGCGTCACTCCCGTCTCTGTGTAGACGACATGATGTCATGTTCTCATCCGTACTTCATTTGACTGAGTATGTATTAGAGATTGGGTCTCGCTCGACTACGCACCAAATGTGCAAAATGAGAATGCATCTTTCGCTAGAACACGAGCAGGTACACCGTCATATTTTTTTGTCGTTTGTGCATGTTGTGAGTAGTGCAGTGAGGCCCATTGTTAACCATTGTGGGTTTCCCGTGCCCGTATATCGTATTTGAAGTGAGTGGCCGGTGTTGTGTGCACGCGTGGGTGCCTGGATAAGCATGTTTTGAGTTCTTTTTGGGGTTTTGGAGACGGGACTCGGGAAAAAAAACAAGCGTGCATGAAAGAACGCGATAGAAACCATGTGCACACTGAACATATGAAAAAAATTCAAAAAAGTTAAAATTTGTTATTAAAAAAAACACGACGACTTGACTCCGGAAAACATGTGTTTTTCTTGGGAAAAAAAATAAAAACCAGTGGGGCGACGCACATCATGAAAAAAGAATAGCGGCCCTGGTAACTTGATGCTGCTTGGGTCTGTTTTCTCTTCATTTCTTTTTGTTTTTCTTTTTTTTTCCTCTCCCGGCGGGCCACGTTGACGTGCGCCCCATTTCTTCTTTCCTTAGTATCAGTTTTAGAGATTAAACCACTAGTACACGGCCCCAGCGGCCCCTTTAGCCTTGCCGGTGGAAACTTTGTCGCCACAAGAAAACGAGACCGAAACGTCGAAAGCTGGGCCCGCCGTTGATAAATTGGATTGGCGGTCGTGTTTTCCGTTTCCCGCTTCCAGAAGTTGAGGTGTCACGCCCGCGGCCCAGGTGTCCATGTACTGGTGCAATAAGAGATAGATACCTGGGCACCTTGGCCGCGGGCCCATGTGGCTGAATTGTACGGTACACCCCTATAACTGTTGATGAACAGACCTGAGTTCGAATCCTTTTTTTTTTTTTTTTTTTTTTAAAGCGAAACAGAGATGAAATTAGAGATAGAGATATAAATCCCTCGGGTTTCCTTGCAAAGTGCTTATCATTGTGCTATTGGCATGCGTTTTGTGTATGCTGACGCAGACCTTTGAAACTGTGGCGTCATTCCCACTTGATCTCTACGAAAATGGGACGTCTATTATCAGCTGTCAGTTCAGGTGAGTGCTTGTTCTATTCGAATACTATGCCCCCCATCCTCCTTCCCCCCTTTACCCCTCCGCTCACCCCCTGCTGCCCGTGCAGTAAAAATTTGCAAGTGGTCGATGGAAGAGGAGAACAGGGAGATTGATACATTGAGGGGCCAGGATTTCATAAAATAGACCACATTGAGGGGGTTCAAACTCAGGTTTATGGGGTTGGCTCAAGTTGTGTAGGAGGCCTACTGATCTCTGGATTAAAAAGGGAGAATGGGGATATGGAGGACCAAAAATGTGTGGTGGTTCACATTTAAACTAGGCTACCAGCCGGCCGCCCAGGTCACCTTGTTTGCAGAAAAATAAACTGCACAACTTCTGCCTCAGGGTCAGATCGAAACACTTTACCAAGAAAGAAAAATGAAATAGAGAATTATTATTAGTATTATTATTTTTT